TAAATCTAATTAGTTTATAATAAATTAATTAATTTATATTGTATAGATTAGATATATATTAAGTATATATATTTAGAATTAATTATAATTGATTCTGGATTTGAATTTAAATATCATGATATTATGAGATAAAGATATTTATATATTCTATCTCAGATTTTATCTAATGGGCTCAGTAGATATTTTTGGCTACCCAAAATACCCCATGACAAAAGCTATAAATAGAGGCTTCCCCTATCAGTGCAAATCATTTCAATAGTTGAGCTTCCCTACTATCTCTCTATCTTATTTCTTTCTTGCAAAGAGGTGCTTGCTGTGCACTCAAAAGCTTAGACTTTATAGTCTAGCTTAAGCGTAAGCTAAGAAGATCCAACCGACCCGACCTGAGATCTGACCCGGTACGTTTCTGATCCATTCTCTATTTATTCTCACAGTATTAAAATGTCAAGAAAGTTATGTGTAACTTGCTTGAAGTCCATAAGAGTTTTATGAAATTAATTAAGATAAGATTTCATGTAAAATGTCACGTAGAATGTGAGTTGCCTTATGTTAATTTAACGTAACAAATTTTATTAAAAGGATAACAATGAGTTAACAGTAAAAATTCATAATTAAAAAAAATCAAAAATCAAAATTTTAAATTTTAAAATGTTAAGAAACTTCAATGCATCTACTGCAGGATTGCTCAAATGCTGTAAACCAGTGGAAGTTGGTGGTTAGAACTGACAAATGGACTATGTTTACCTCACTTCAAGGTGTGGATTGGGTGAAATGGAACCTAACAAATGACATTGGTTTGAATTTCACAAAGAAAGTACCATGGTCCACCTTGTTTGGTTACATGTGCTAGGATATTTCGGTGACAAGGTGTAACAAGCTTTTTGGAAGCGAAACCACTAACACAAGGATCAATGGAAATTCTGGCTTCTTTAAGGCATGCTTAGATCAAGACCTCTTGAAGTAGGAATTTCAACTAAGCAGAAGTCAACCATCTAATGCTTATTCTAATAAGCATCCGAATGATTTTTTTTATCAAGGTGGCAGTAGACGGCTCGGTCTTGGATAATGGAAGAAGCGGTTGTGGGGGTTTCATTTGTGACAACAATGATCATTGGATCTATGGTTTTAGCTGCAAACTGACTTTAGTTCCCCTAGCCATTGCTGAATTACTAGGTGTTATTCATGGTCTCGCTTTATGTTGGACAAGATGATATAGGAAAATTATTTTATTTTCTGATTGTATAGCTGCAATCAATTTTGCTTTTAGAGGATGCGATAAAGACCATCCTTTCAAGGACATTATTGATGATGTTAGATTGTTAATTAACAGGGATTGGCAGGTCATAGTTTCCCATATACTAAGAGAGGGATATGACCATTACTGATAGGTTAGCAAAACTTTCTCATAGGTTAGAAGGGAATTTTGGCTCTTTGATCATCCTCCCCTTTATCTAACAGGTAGAGGTTGACGAAGGATAGGTTCTTGCTCTCTTGCATTTTGTTGTTTTGAGAATTGCTATTCAGTTTCATTAAAAAAAAATGTTAAGAGAATTATACACAGCCGTGGTAAAGTCAGGGGTTTTCTATAACTTCGCCTCAATTATTTGCAAGGGAAGAGGCGAGGGAGCGTGGGGATGCAATCTTAGAAGCCCCACATCGGGAGGACGAAAGGGAGCATGGGGATGCGGGGGGTTTAAAAGCAAAAGGAAGGCGACAATTACAACATACTTACCTGGACGGGGTCAATGGGTGATCAGGAAGGCCTATGGCCTAGGTTGATGACCTCCATTGCACTTCGGAGGGGTGTCACCCTAAGGTCTCCCCAAGTGGGAGAGCCTACGTCATAATTTGTGGAAGCGGGGGCCTGCGTTCGCGCGGCCCCTACCCAATCCTTTGTACAAGTGTTCTTCGACTTTGTTTCGCGTGGTTTGCGTGCTTCGGCTTTGAGAGTTTCTGATTGAATTTTAGTTTAGGTTCCGATTGTGACAGATCCTCTGGATGGTTGGTGTGCGCGCTGTCATGATGCGAATGACGACGGTGGATCTCTTGATTTGAACAGCGAGCGTCGTGGTTCTAATCGGCATAATCGACGAGATGGGTGAATTGAAGGAATAGGAGGAGGTGGGGGGGGGGGGGGAATTCTTGTTGTTTCGACTTAGCGTTTGGGGATTGGACTCGGGATCGAGGGGGAGGTCCTGCTCCTTCATCGATCTTGGCTCCGCTTGAAGCAGAGAAGCGCTGAATTCGCTTAGGTAGAACTCATGCAATATAAGATTATTGATTTGCCGAATTTCCGTGGCACATCTATTTACTGTTCTTCAATTTTTTTGATGCAAGTGAAAAATTGTAAAATATATGCCTTCTTTCCGCGATTTAGAAAGGAGGCCGTGAAACAAATTGGCAGATTATGATGAAGCTAATGTTATTTTTCCGGTGGCTGAGGTGTAAATCTACTTATTTAACTGAATGGAAAATGGCGACATTAGGGGGAGTATGATTATGTACCTGACTTTGAAATATACACACACACACACACACATATTCTTGTTCTTGATTCCATTTAGAGATTGGTCCATTGATCGTGCTTATCGTTGATGCTGGTTCGGTCTAATTTTTCTTTTGCATCTTTATATCGGAACTGTTCTGATGGAGTAGCAGCTCGCAAATGAATCCCCTGTTTCTGCAATCGTGGAGGACTATATCGGCTATTTCTTTCCATTCTGTGGGCTATAGTTTGCAGACTTTGAGTACAATGTCGCCAATGCACTTGTTCGTACATAGATTTCTTATATGGAAGAACTATAATCCGCAGATGGGAGAAAGACTGGTAAGGTTTTTCTCATCTAATCTATCAGAACAACAGAGAGAGTGCGGGTTGGGGATCGACTTTCTAATTGGTTTAAATTGCCACTAAAACGAATATAATTCCAGTAACCGGATGTTCTGCGGTTAAACTTCAGGGCATAGGGGGAGCATAAGTTGTTGTTAGGACAGTACAATTGAAATACGTCCCAACTCAGTTTTGAATCACTTCTACAGCCATTATGGTTCGTGAGTCAACAGCCATTCAAACACACACACAACTAGAGAACCACGCTTTATTAGTTGAAATGAAAGTAACAAAACTGTATTTGTATGGGAACTTGTCTCCAAGTAGAATTCCTATTTACAGTACTAATTCACAGAAGGATGACCAACGCTGCTTCATCTTCTTCCATATTGCCCAAATCTGGAGTTGCCAAGGAGTTGAACACTGTATTAAGGAAAATGGAACGAGGGGGAGAAAGAATGGGTTGTGCTAGCATGATTAGGCTTACCCGTTTCAGACCTATTCTCGAATGTGAAAACAAGGGAATACGCACCGAAATAAATGAGCCCCAAAGCCAAAAACACACCCAAATAAGCCTCCTGATCTCTCTTGTGTAGCCGTATGAGTAATTGGAATGCCATAAACAGGTTCTGGAACCATGTACTGTTGATAGGATGAGCTTCTTTCAACAGGCGTATTTTTAAATACCGGATTAGATTCCACTGCACTCTCTTGTGGATGCACCTGAGCTTGACCTGGATATGTCACTTCTGGGGCAGGTTCGAAACTGGGTTGCGAGAAGGTCCCATAGTTCTGTTCAGCTTCAAGCCATGGCGGTAAGGGTGGAGCCGATGGCTCAGTGGAGGAGGAACAAGCGTGGCAATGGTGGCAGGGAGGAGGTGGAGGAGGATAAGGAGGTGGGAGAGGATAGTAAGGTTGATGGTTCTTCCTTTTCTTTTTCTTTCTTGACCAGAACTTGAGCTTCTTCACAGCTTTCATCATGTTCCTCATGGTGATGCAGGAGGAAGATGAACTTGAACTCGGAAAGACTCAGTGGGACGCGAAGTGCAATATGGATTTCTCTGTTGTTTGTGCCTATAAAGTGTTGTCGTTGGGGAAAAGAGAAGAATTGGATGAACCGTTGGTAAGAGCGTGCTGGTTTGTACACTCGCGTTTTTCGACTTTTAAATTTATGACCGTTACACGCCCAGCAATCCTCAATCATCTTCCACAACATAGAGCCAGGTTAACTTTACCCCACATTTTAGGTCCATTTTAGGCCCTTCATTTTAGTACTTAAGTCGGCAAATTAACCATCGTCGGCCTTCTCGTCCATTTTTAATTTTATCCCTTCATTTTTGTTTTTAAACCATACTTCAGATTCATTTCAGGCCCTCGGGCTACCATTTAAAAAAAAAAAAAATTTACAGCTCAAAGGACAAAACGAAAACATGTAAACTCATCACGGGAATAAAAAGGCACACGTGCTTAGAGTTTTAATTATTTGTTTATTAAACATCTTTTTTTTTTTCCCGCCAGCGATTAAACATCTCAGTTTGTATCATTTCCTTCCCGAACTATTAAAAAACCGTTTTTCCTGCACTTAAGAATTTTAGTTTGGAAAAACATTCTAAAGCTAAATTCAAGCAGTTGAAAATATTATATAATCCCGTGTTAATAAATTAATCCCTTAATACAACAATAGCAGAGTACAAAACTATTAATAGTTAACAAGACAAAAATCCATTTTGCACAAGAAACCAGAGAATACGTACAAGGTACCATAAAATCCGAAGGAAATGAAGGAAAGAAAAGGGCAGGGGAAGAGATTCTAACCGGTGAAATCAAGCCGAAATTTCAATATCATTCCTGATACATATATCAAATCAGAAATCTCATAACAAATTGACTTCTTGGTTCTCGTAGACCCAAAACTAGAACAGGATCTACAGATCACTCACTCTGAAAACAGGTACCTTGAACCCTTCCCAAAAATAAAGACATTGCCAACAAATTTTCTTCCAGGAAAGATATAAACAAGTATTAACTAAAGAAAGTAACATGAACCAAAACTTAAGAAGATGCTAAAAAGCCGCTGGACAGAAACCTGCAGCACCGAATAGTCGACCATTAAAGAAAACTGCTCGGCAGAGTGAGTTACTGGTCCCAAACACCGGAACGGTACTGCTACTTCTCAAGGGGAAAAAATGGCTCAATATACATACATTAACTAAAATTCAAGGATTATATGTTTATATACAAAAATGAGAGGGCATAACAAGAAGTAAATAAGCCAAAAACAAAAGACGGTGAAGAAAAAGACAAAAGCCATTCACAATGTATATGAACACAGGCATACTCACATTTCCTCATGCTGGCAGCTCATTCAAAATTGAACAAGCAAGGGCCATGAAACACTTGCCAAAATCCAGGGAATAAAAAAATTATTAAAAAACGCCCCACAATAACCAAGGCTACTTCTAAGGAGGATCAAACGGAAGCATACTAAAACCGACCTCATGTTGCAGCTAGACAGTAGACGACGCTATGGCAGCAGCACCCAAGCACAGTACACCAGTGACATGCCCTTCTAGAGGCCAAGATGAAATGCTTGCCAAGTTCAATCTCTTTTCTCTCAATAGTTCCTACTTCCATACCAAGTTTTATTGTATATAACAACTAGGGTGTAAATCCTAAAAGTATTAACAACCAGGCCCCACAATAGACGACTGATCCTGGTCCTCAGCATTAACTGCTGCTTCACAGTCTGGCTTGCCTGTTTTAGCTTCTTCACCAAATGAAAGTAGTGCTTTGGGCGAAAGCTTCTTCACCTCCTCTATGGTGTAAATGAAAATTTTCCTCACAGCACCACAGAACTCACTGCAGTAAATTTACAAAAAGTACACATCAATACAAATTAAAGGCACAAGTCTTTGTGCAAACAACATTTTATGACACAAATAAAAAAGTGCAACTAACGGATTGCCATTATAAACATACTTCCATGGAATATCTCCGACCATCATCACATCATCTTCGTTATCGGTGTAGACAACCTGCCAAGTTTTAGTGGATCCACAAAGCTCACCCTTGATGTCAAACATCTCCTCCAATTTCTTAAGCAGATCTTCATATCCATCAAACCTAGTCAAATCCACAGCCCTTCCAACAGCCATCCCTTGCATGTGAACCTGGAATATAATGATGTTGCGTATCAGGCAGCATATGAAAAAAGCTTGAGTTAATTATATCATACGATTTGTTCCACTTTCAAAAAATGGCAAAATGACTTCTCTGAAAGTAAATAGAAAAATTGGCGTCCAGTAGAAACTATTAAGATGTCGGTATTCATAAAAATATAGAAAACCAAATGATTCAGCACCAACTAAAGTAAAACAAAATGATTCAGCCTTACTACCTTTGTGCAGCTTCTTATTTGCCTGCCTAGTGCTTCAGGGGGAGACTGCAAACATGATTTTTCAGCATCACAACTTACTGAAGGAACATCAGCACAATTAACATTTGATGGTTCTGAATGCCGATCAGATTCAGCAACAGCATATCGAGAAGACCTATCATCTCCTACTCTTCCTGACAATGTGATCGGCAACACACTTTCTTCTACATTAGAATTCTCAAGTAACTGGATCCCAAAGAGCCTACAGCCATTTCCAGTGCCTTGTCTCTTTTCACTGGATTCTTTAGGGGCCATTGTCTCCAAAGAGTTCTCCGCTCTATTGGACCAATAAGTTGCATTATTAGAAACAGGACCCATAGAACTGTTCCCGCCAATACCTAGAAAGTTAGCAGCAGTAGGATTGAACTTGGATGATGAATAGAGGTCTCGTGCATGTTGGTGATCACCATAAGAGAATGGCTGAGATTTATTAACTGATTTCCAGACACCTGATTAACCAACAAAGTAAGTCATGCATCAAAGAAAAAGATAATGTATAACAAAATCAGCAATGAAATTTGTGAAGTAAAATCACCTTGCAAAGAATCAGGCACTGCTGATGGTAGGAGGGGAGGACGTGCCCTCTTGTTTCTTTGGGTTGGTTGGGAATTTGCCGGAGTGGTGGTATTCACAAGTGGCTCCAATTCCCAAGGAGAAACTCTATCAGGTCGCAAGATTGAAGAGGGTTCATCCCATTGAACCTGAAAAACAACACAAGTCATTAAATACGGATAGATAGAACATACCAAAACCATTACTGTGGTTAAAGGATAGAGATAAGTATCATAGAATGAGTTCACAGAGTAGGGCACCTTAACCCTGAGCTTTATTTTAACTGCGGGGCAAAATACAACCTTCTTTTGTTGGTCATTACCACGAAAAGAGAGGGGGGAACGTAAATGCCAAAAAAAGTATCCAAAGTTGGCAAAACCGATATTACAAATAAAAACCAAATGAAGTATCCAAATATGATGAACACATCAATAAACCAAACTGGTTCCGTATGCATGTGTATCTGTGATGCGTGCTAACAAACAACCAATAAAACCAAAACAAGATATTCCAAATTTTTCATGTTATGGTCAGAGTTATTCAATGTTTCTTCATAGCATATAACAGAAACATACAATATGGTAACATACATTCACATATCAACAATGCAATGCAAATGGTCTTGCAGCAAATGTTTCCCTACAATACACTGATAAGTGATATCAAAAAGACTATTTTTCTCAACCGGAGAAATTCAAACTAAGTTGCCTGTCAAATTTACAGCGTAAGTCAATTTTCTAGAACTTGATATAAATCCATCATGAACAAACAAAAAGCCAGAAATTCATCATCATTGACAGTTCAAAACACAGAAACCAGTAAACTAGTGAATAAAAACAACTACAAATATAAAAATAGGCATAACAGCACAATAGAAATAGTGTATATTAACCTTTAATGAGCGCCACTCAGAATCAGCCCAGACAGGTGAGATATTATCTCCAACCCCAACAATTGTACCGCTAAACCTGTAACCAAGGTGGAAGGAGGTTAATTAGATGGCACCGCAAGCTAACATGCAAGCGTGAATTGAGGGCAACCAGCTCATGCACCTTCTTTCAGGAACTTCATCGCCTTCAAACCTCATCTTGAATCTCATCCCAACCGAAAACTTATGACTCTTAGCTTCAAGATACTTGTTGACACTCACAATAAACTCCGATCGGCTTGTTCTGAAGACAAACATGGATAAGTCAGCAGGAATTTATCACTCAATAAAGAGACAAAAAAGAGCATATAAATCTTGGCCAAAAACAAAAAACACAAACATTATCTCGAAACCAAATATATTTCACACATGGAAGGAATACATACAATACATGGAGAACACCCACAAACTAACAGTACTAACATTATGAGCTAAATAAACAAGAATAAACAGCAATTGCATGTTGTTAAATACAAAACCTGGGCTTGTAAAATACAGAAAACAGAGTTCCAGTGGCAATTGCATGAGATGCAGTGGCCAAAACACCCAGATGCATACTGTGACTTGATATAACAGATGAAGGCATGTTATTTTGCTGTCTCATCAGCCTCCTAACTCCAACACGCAGCTCCCCATTTTCACCTCTGCAATATTGTAACATTTAGCCGAAAAAAATTATTATCCAACATATGAAATAAAACAAAAGTGGGAAAATTCAGGTATAATTTCCTTGCCCAAATGTTGAGTAACCAGTGCTATTTATCAACTTACCTCAGGAATATAAATGCGTCACCAGCAACTAACTTCTTGGAACTGACAAAGACACTCCACCCAGTAGTCAGTAAGTGGCGCCTAGGTTGCCCTGGAAATTAATGGATCAGTCAGTAGCTTCCTGATTATAAATATTAAAACTTCTTCACAGAAAACCCACACTCCCCCCCCAAAAAAAAAAAACACAAAGACATGCATGCATGTGTGCACAAGTGAACCTAAAAAGATAAAAATGCTAGATGGAACATATCATAGTTCCCTTTACAGCACCAACAGTTCTAATACCATTATTTATTGCACCATAGAATTCTGATTGAGAAATTATAAAAAAATTATATAACTAAAAAACTGATATGTGAGGAGAGTACTTTTCTGTAAGAAAACTACTCAAATGTCAAAAGGCACTTCTTATTTTAACAGCACTATCATAAAATATCACTTTTCTCCAAAAACAAGCTTGATCTCCAAAAGCAGCAAGAAAGCAGGCCACTCAGCCGGCATCATCTTACAAGAGTTATATATATATACGCGGGCGTGTATTCATGCGCACATGCATATATATACCTATGGAATGCAATTTTGTAGGCAAATTCTGCTGTAGAGATACGTATAGCTTCAAGCTGGACAACAGCAGATGCATATACTAAATCTTTATTGGTACTCTTTCAAGGCTAAAAAAAATACATGAGATGATAAAATACTTGATAAAATATTACAGAAAGATTAGCCAAGATGCTGACCTCGGAAAATATGCCTAAAATGCCATTCATTCCCATGCAAATCAGTTGCAACCAATTCCTGCCATGGTGGCTGCTGAGACATGTCCTGGACAAAACATGAAAAAAAAAAATTGAGTAGAGAACAGCTGGTGAAAAATATAAAATCATGATATTTAAAAAAGAAAAAACCAGCTAACCAAGGGTGGCAAACATTCATCTGCATGCCTCCGAAGCACAGAAAATCCGCCATGGGTACTGGTGTCAGATGCAGTGAGTGTTTTACAAAAGGAATGGACAGTGCATCTTGAAGGTTCCGGCAGAGGATCATCCGGACTACTCAACTCACTTTGCTAAACCAACAAATGGAAGGAGAAAATAAGGCAGGAATTAGAGAAAAGAAAAGAAAAAGTAGGGAGCAGATGGGTGAGAAACAGCTATGACAGAAAATTAAAATTTGAGAGATAAACCAGACGGAAGAAAGGTTTAACTACAATAACAGTGCAAAATATATAGAAAAAGAAAGCACTCACATCTGTTTCTGGAAGCAAAGTTATCTGTGCATATACTTCATCAGTCTCAGGTTCAGCCTACGGCAACAAAATAATCAAACCAAACTATTTAGTAAGGATCATAGTAAAGCTGGATGAATTCCCAAACAAGTAATAAATTTTAAAAAAAAAAAATACAAGGCAATAGAACAAACCAAAACTCACCCGAAGAAGAACATTGACCACTTTGCATAAAATTTTAGATGGCAGGTTGAAGGAAGGCATTTGTTGCTCTGCTCCTTGATGCATAGATGCCTCAAGCTAAAAAAAATATAGAATCACACGTAAGACAAAAGGAAAATACATAGACTACATGGTACAACAAAACGAATATAACCATAAAATCAGGTGTCACAAATCATAATATATTTCACCAAATAGTCAAAGTAAAATCATGGTAGAAGCCAACAGAGAAGAGGACAACATAAATATATGAATAAAAAGCACTTAAACAAGAATAGTAAACAGGCAACCTCTGCAAAGTTTGGAATCCAATAATTACTGTGAATTAAGATATCTCCCTCAAGAAATCAAACCAAGTCAGACAAAAAGATATTGTTCTCTCAAAAGTGTTATAAGTAGCCATTGGGAGGTGAATAGATGCTAGCAGGAACTTAACCCATTGAAAAAAGGATGAATAAACAGAGCATCCAAAAATTGGACCGATGCAAGGGTGAAAAGGTAGCAGCACAAGCAAGGACCATTATTTATAGCGTACAAATACATCTTACTCAAAAGCAAACTGAGAAAATTTTAAAATTCACTAGAACATTAAATACCTGTTCCATATGCCCCTGAGGAAAATAATAAACTCGTTCTCCTTCACGGGGAAGAGTGACAAGGGGACCAGCACAAGCATGCCACAATTCCTTGTACAAGTCATCATTTGTCGGCCCTATGAAGAAAAGATGAAAAGATGTGGCCATATAAGAGGCACAAGACGCACAAAAATATATTGCAAGAAAATATGCACACTATTTAAAAAAGTTACTAAAATAAATTTTTCCTTATTTTATTGCTTAGGAGTTTGGTGGCAACAAGGTCACCAACAAAAATCCCGTATTTGCATCAAAACACATGCAAAATTTAAATTATATTGCGTTCTCTACCATCAGACAGAAGAAAGAGAAAATGGAACAGGCAGACATCATGCTTCTAGTGATAAGGATTATCGAATCATGGGAGGAATAAATAGATGGCAAACAAAGTATGGGTTGGAAAAAATTATCAAGTAAGAACTATAAGCTTCACTAAATGGCACTGCATTAACATCAATATAATGAAAGGTGCATAAGGTTTATTGACCTTGTAAAAGCAGGGTTGCTCAGAAAGTGACATCCAGCACATTAACGTATTTTAGTCACGCAGAATAAAAGTGGTAACCGATAATTAAAGCATAAAAGCTTGTAAAGTCAGTAACAGAAACCATTAAAGTAAATTAGCGACAATAATCATCATGACCTACAAAAATACATTTTCTAGTGGATAACTACTCGTAAACAAATGCTTTAATTAATAAATCCTGCAACAAAACCAGACTACAGATATGTCTTAATAAATAATTTGAAGTATTCAACTTCCTCTCTGGCCCTTTTGACACAGCCCAACACAAGTCAGGAGAAACATATCACAAAAGCATGCATTCATTTCAAGTATTACAGTCTGCCACAAGTAATCACGTCATATCATATATTAGACTATGCTTTCACCTCTTTGCCCAAAGAATAACATGTTTAACCATTCAACATCACCCAGTGATAGGATTACCAGTACCCAATCAAATTTAAGGGTAACTTGAATACAATTATATTTCAGCAAATAACATAACATAAGGATAAAGAATAGACGGATAAACTCAAACCTGCTGGTTGGTTTCCACCAGGTGTCTGATTTGAAGCCATAAATGCCATAAGAGAACAACACAAATAATCCTCAAAACAGCAGTAAGATCTAGAGCCCTGAATTCAAATCTGTTATGTATTTCTGTTACACAAAGAAAACAATGCCATTAGTTTACTTAGAAAATACACTAAAACCATTTACTTAGACAACAATCAGCTATTGACCACCAGCCACACCAAAGGGCTCCGATGCCGCTTAAGGAAAGCCTTTTTCAATGTCGCTCAGCTGTTTTTTGCGCCCAGAGAAAGAAGGTTCATTATTTGACTTTTAAAACAAGAAGTTGCGAACCAAAAGCGTGAGCCTTTAGCAATTCTAGAGAAGAACGGAATGCACAACACGGATATTTTCACACTATGGTCAAACAAAACAGAAACTGCATGTGAGAAGGGGCAAGCAGGAGCGCATCGAAAAGATCCCGAAGAATGACCAGTAATCGACATTCGATCTCTATCTAAACGATTAGAATCAGCACCACCTGGATCCAAGTAACAGAGTAACACCAATTTGGCTCTATCCATTTCAAAAAAATACTAATATCAAACAAAGGATACTCATAATAATAACAATCCATCCCAGATATTTCCCGCCGGCTCAACCCCATTTCCAATAAACCCAAAATATCCACTACCCAATATAAACCCACACCGAACACAATATGAACTAAATCAGATGTGAAATCAATGAGGGGCCGAGTCAAAATCAACACCCAGAAGCGAAATAAGTACAAGAGACCACCAATTTCTTATTGGCATTGAAAAAATAAAAAACGGCAGAGTACCTTGAATCAGTTGACCTCCGGTCTCCAGTTTCCAAACAGCAGCAAGTCGCTAGGGTTTCAGACAGAAGAAGGAAAGAAAGGAAGAAAGGGTCTCAGTAGATCGAAATTCGATGGACGAAATCGTTGATAAGGTCTTTGCTTGGTCGAAGCCGACACGACCCCCCAATTCCCTGCCTGCCTCTTTTTCACTCTCTCTCTCTCTCTCTCACGCACACTCTTTCTTTCACGGACTCCTCTCTCTCTCTCTCTCTCTCTAGCTGTCTGTGCCAGTCTTATTTTTATATACATAGGCACAATTCTATCTTGTCGTTGCTTTTCTCAAATCGCGTGTCTGCTTGTAGGAGGGGATGGACTTGACCATCCTTAAAACAGAGAGAGTTTAGGAGGGTGCGCAGTGCGCACTCCATCCCCTTTTCCTCTGTCTAAAGTGCTGAATCATCGAAAACAGCGATACAATGCGTACCCTTAAGCCCCTACAGGTTCCCCGTTGTCCCCGTGGGAGCCGTCTCCGCCAGCTGAGCAGAATAATGACATTTAATATTATTCTATACACTTCTATACTCCAAGTAGAGCCGCAGGTTTCTCGTAATTTATTATACTTTAATTTTATCTGATTGGTCTTAGAACAAAATTCACCACTCACTCTTCACCCAAAAAAAAAAAAAATTAACTACTCACTGCCTAGCTTGATCTTAATTTTAAATTTTAATCATATATAATCTTTTAAAGTGCAATATTTTTAATATTTAATATTTTTAAAAGAAACTCACATGCCAATAAAATATTAGAATGTTATGTTTATTTTTAATTTTTAACATTATTAATTATTTTTTTTAGCTATGTATAAATATCCGAGACAATCCTAAGCATCAATTCCTGTTCTACTTTTGGCCAAAAAAAATTTCCTGTTCTACTAAACCTAACTTTTATTTTATTTTATTTTATTTTGGTATATAAACCTAACTTTTATTGGTTTCATTAATATAATTTTAAAAGAAACTTACCCGCTGCATCCACAAGTTTTTTTTTTCTGTGACTGAAAAACCCACTTGCTCTGAAAATTTTTGCTAAAGCCCAACCAAGCAAAAACAACTTATTATGCCCCAGCCCAAACATGCTTCCCCCCTCTCGATTTAAATGGGTTGACCCGAGGGAGTACTCCATTTTGCGGGCTATAAAATTGAGTCCAGATGCAAAAACTGTTATGTGCATGATCTTGTTATCAAATGCAACTTTTATCTGAAATAACTTTAATATTAGGCCTCCTGTCTATAATGTTAAGTTTTATTAAGGGAAAATTATACACAAGTCTTATAGAAGATAATTAATTCTGAAAAAGTCTCTCAAAATCCCCAAATACTTCCTAGGTCCCCAAGGACTTCAAAGCAAAAAATTAAAATTATGAAATTACCTATTTGCCCTCACTAATGGAAAAAGTTGTGATTAGCTGCTGTGTAGGTTGTGACTCTATGTTGTACATGTTGACATTCGATTGGGTGTTGGTTGTGAATGGCTCAAATGTGGGTTGTGATTAGCTGCTATATAAGTTGTGACTGTAACTATGCATGTTGTCATTCAGTGAGGGCAAGTAGGTAATTTCACAATTTTAATTTTTTACTCTTAGGTCTTTGGAGACTTGGGAAGCATTTGGGGATTTTAAGAGATTTTCTTAAACATAATTGTCTTTTATAAGATCTACATGTAATTTTCCCTTTTCTTAATGGGACTCATCTCACCCTTTCATCTATCTTATGTGTTCCATGATCCATGTATGCCTGGGCCTATTGGATTTGAGGGAGGGTAGGGGAGGAGAGTTTTTAACCTTACCATGTTGTTTTTTATTAAAAAGACCAGGAGATAAGAGATTTTTAATGATACTTTATTTTGTTCCAAAGGGGAGGAAAGGTAGTAAGTAGTTTATCATTATATGTTATTTTATAGTTTTTTTTTTATTTTTATATTATATAAATTAATTTGCACCTTGTTTTAAGTTGTATAATTTATAAAAATTCACGCTCATGCCAACGTGTCGATATATGCATAAAGAAATTGATATGATGTGTTTTTCTATCTCTAATTGATATAATAATAATTTCGAAAATCAAATTAACAAGTTTGATCCTTGTAAATCCATCTAGTACTTTTTGGGTAGCATTATTGAAATTATTAAATTTTTTTTTTTAACTTAAACTTGGTTTGGGCAAAATGACCAAATAATATTAAAAATATGAGCAAAACTCATATCTTATGGATAAGCAAAACGAAATGGCGACAGCTGCTGTGTTTTCTCCCTAATATTAACTCTTTCCTTTTGTTGTAAACAATAAATCAGTGTGAGCGAGAGCTGTAGGCGATGTAAGGAGTCTGAAATAATGAACAAAATGTGGAGTTTTTTTTCAATGGGCAGAAATGGAATATCACAAAATAGATAACGGCAAGTTGATCACAACATTTGGCTCCCTCTAAAGAAACCCCAATTTGGGGAACCTCCCCCCCCCCCCCCCAAAAAAAAGAAAACCAAAAACTGATGTAGAAAAATTCTGAAAAGAACATTTAAGTTATTAAATAAACCTCTTGGTGAAAAGTTTAAAGAGTTAATTATTGATGGAAATACTTTAGTATAATGTAATTCATATAGCTATCTTTACTTGGTGAAATAAGACTTCTTGCTATTGATACTGTTTAAATTGTCGTGAAAACAAATGAAGTGCCAAAAAATATCAAAAAAGTCTACTCGTTTTAAGAATTAGTTTAACCATCACAACCAGTATAATTGTATTTTATTTTATTGTCAGAACAGTACATCCAAGCAAACATGGCATTACATCACAAGCTTTCACGTATATCAACCGAAAAGGGGAAAAACATTGTATAGAACCATCAACACACAACATAACAACGAAGAAATACTTGTAATTAGGCGAAGCAAGCTCCTTGTAAATCAACGGATACCACCAGAGGAGAATCACCCTTGTCGACAACAATTGTCTTGGAAATCTTCTTTGTTGGGGTGAACACCTCCACGTTGTATGTTCCATGGAAGCCTCTAAAACCAAACTGCCCCTCTTCATCAACATGTCCATGACTGTGAGACAGCCATTCTTGCTTCAGAGCAAGGAATCTTTTCCCGGCTTCATTGATCTCACCTTCTGCATTCACCAAGTGTGAATCCTTCCTGCTCATAAACAGTTCCCAGAATCCCCACAGCATTATACCATCCACAGAAGGATGAGCAAAAGCCTCCCTCATCATCACTTCCAAGTCATCTGCTCGCACGAATTCATTAGTCGACGAGACATCAAGCTCTGTAAACCAGATTGGTAGACCAAGAATACCCAGTTTATCTAAGGCAGAACAAACAATAGGTCCCATTGGACTATCTATGTGACCCTGAATACCGATTCCCCCAACCTGTGCACCTTGCTTTTGCAGATCAATAATATGTTGAATGTATTTTTCTGGATATGATCTGGTGTCAGACCCATCTTCAACATGATAATCATTTACAAATAGGGTAGCAGATGGATCTAGTTGATGTGCAGTCTTGAACATGCTTGCCCTGATGTCTTTACCTAGTCTGTCTTGATAAAATGAACCATGCATCATTTCATTATTCACATCATAATGCTTGAACTTGCCCTTGTAGCGAGTCAGAAGCCCGGTCAACCTGTTTTGGACAGCCTTCATCAAATCATCTTTACTCAACGATTTAATCCATTGCTGAACTGCGCCATCCACTTCCCAAAAGATACAATGTCCACGAGTTTCTATCTTGTACTTTTGACATAAGGCTAACATATCATCCGCGTCTTTATAGTTGAAATTTCCTTGTTGTGGCTCTGTCCAATACCACTTCAGCTCATTCCCAAACACAGCCCAGTTAAAATGTTTCACAAAGAAATCAACAAAGTCTTCATTGTCAATATTTGTTCTGTTGACGCATGATCCAATAGGAAAGTCGTTCTGCATTTGTCTGACTTTCACTAAGGTTCCGAGATTGCTGCCTGGGCTCAGTCCTGAGAATTTTAGAATAACATCACGCTTACGGATCTGCAGGGCATCGAACCAGAAATGTTTCAAAAGACGGTTGAAGGTCTTTAAAAATGATTGAAAGTGGAAGTCGTGCAATTAATAAACAACAGAATAACAAAATGACTAGGCGTTAGAATCTGAACATAATTCTCTTCCTATTGATTGCATGCAAGCGTTTTAGTATCTTGTTCACATTAGAAATGGTTTCACAAGACCTCTGTTAGATCGCAGATCTAATAATGACTCACTGTCGTACAATATTCCAGATGAGATAGCACAGAGCATGCTACTGGATCAAAATCATGAGTTACGACTGACAAAAACAAGCAAATCATGTAACTCTTGAGGGATGGGGTATTACTTTCGTGTTACATATTCAAACCAGCTTAAGAGTAGACATATTAAGAATTTCTATGTCTCTGAATGAAGATGTGGTTTTCAAAAGAAAAACATCTATAAATCATTAAAATCAAAGCTAGATATTACCTTATCTGCCTCCTTCCTTAAATATCTAAACCTTGTTTGTCTATCAACTGGGAAGATCTGAAGACCAGCAACCATTAATTCTACACCAGAAGCAGGACCTTGGACATAAACCATAACTTTTGACGGCTGCTTCTCAATTCTGAAAGACCCACCAAGCTCATACCATCTATCGTCAGAAACCTCAACTTGTCCACCATTCACCCACTGGTTGTCAACACCAAGGGCAACATTAACATTTTGTGGACCAGTCGATCCTGAACCAATGCGAACCCAAGCAGATACTTGGTAAGTCAAGAAAAGTTTTAATTTTTCAGTGATAATCTGAGCAGGACCCATCCATGTTTGCGTGCGATTGGTTACAAGGATGTAGCGTCCACTTAGTGGTTCATGAAGGCCAAGGGATTCTCTTGCCATTGGAGGAATAATATGTGGAGAGCCAGTCCCAACACTTAAAGTACAATTGCCGAGGGGAAACCATCCCTTGGTACCATCAGCCAAATTGCTGTTCTCAATCACATTAACTCCAAAAGCAGCATTCTTCAAACAAAGCAATCATTTAGTTAGGAGCTTGAAATACATGGATTTGGCCTTACATTTAGTTTACCTTAGGTCAATATTTAAATCTTTAAAACGAATGCACAAAACAAAATTCTATGAATTGATAGCATATAATATTGGCAAAGCAGTTTTCGGCACCTTAAAATCTGGTGGTGTCGAAGGAGGTGCTTTAGCTGCATGCTTCAAAACTAAAGTATTGACAAGAATGTCGGTTCCTGGTGGGGGACCTTCTAAATAAACTACTACCTTCGACGGCGAACCATTTAAAAGGAACTTGCCTTGCATTTGAACCCAATCTTTATCCGTTGCCTGCACACTTTAGCATATAATAGATTCGTAAAGCAACTAAGAAATATCAAGGAAGCTTTCTAATATCAATTATCAACTGCAAATCAAACTCATGATCCTTTTATTATATTATATGTGAAGAAACTGGCCATACTACATTAATTTTCCTTTTTTTGTCATCTTATTTTTACCAAGAATATTTGCCAGGAATGTCATATCCCTGAGAGTATGTGAAAAGCGGTTCTATCATCTTATGAAAATAATAAATAGAAAAGACACTTACTTGGCAATGCCTATATATTGCTCTCGATTATCTGGTGTTTGGACCCACAAGGTAGCCCGTACGTCAGCAGATGTGACATTGTTCCCATATATCCGAACTAAAGCAGTGACCTCGTAGGCGAGTTTACGCTGCACTTTTCCAGTGATCTCTTGCTGAATCCCATTCCAACTTTGTGTGCGTTCTGTTGCTGATGCAAAATATTTCCCAATTTGAGGCAGAATTTTTCCATCTGCCATGGAGTTATGCAAAGCAATCTTGCAGCCTCTTCCAGACCAATTATTCAGGCCATCATCAAATGTTGGGTTTACTATGATGTTGCCATCTCCAGTAGAATCACATTTGGTGCGTGCAGACTTAGAAAACAGATATGAACGTGTCTTATGTAAGTGTGTATTAATATATAGATTGTTAAGTAACATATACTTTAAACTACTGATATTAAACTTTACTGAAAATGCTTGGATTAGAAGTGCAAATAGAAGCCAGTGTTAAAAACACATAATTACATGATACTCATTGGGACTGGAACAGGTGATCTCTACTGATTGTACGAGCAGGTCAACCCCAGGAGCAGGCCCTTCTAGATAAAATATAACCTGATCAGGCATAGTTGGCAAGGAAAATGTCCCTTCTAACCTTGCCCAGCTGGCCTCTGTTACTGAGGTCCTGAAGAAAGTAAAAGTCTTAAATATTTTTCAATTTCATAGGAGTGAAAGGTGAGCTACAAAGTAATTATGTACCTCCCAATGAACAAGTAGTTAGTAGCCGAATCTCGATGTTGTAGCTTAAGAGTAGCTAGAACATCAGTATGCCCCTGAGGAAGCCCAGCCACTCCAACACAAGCTGAAACCTTGTAAGTGGAGCCAGCGGAAATTTTGCCTGTGATATCTTGTTCAAGACCCTGCCAACATTCCTTGCGGCTAGTGACAACAGCATAATTACTATCTGACTCCATTAACATTCTTCCTTGAGAGCCTGATTTAGCTGAAACTACGTAGCCATGGCAGCAGTTGGGATGCCAAGACTCTAGCCCTCCAGAGAAGTCATGGTTTAATATGATATTAGTAGACTTGCTCTCACTTGAACTAGCGGCATTTCCTTCCATGATCTGTCAAGTAATGAAAAATTAAAAAACAATTAGAACCGAAAATCAAAGAATAAATTCATGTCTGATTGATACAGCTTCACACATATTCGAAAATGTGTTCAAAGAGAGTGAAGAAAAAGCAGAAGGAAATAAGTAAATCATCAAGTAAGACTGACTGGCGAACATCAAAGCGTATCTAGTTGATTTAAATTTTATTTTTTTGGAAGACTCATTGCAAGAATTCCCTTGAACTCTTGTCTTATTTTTGACACGCGGCATCTACAGTCTATAATTCAGTATTAGTCACTGTCAACATGTTTGCCTCAGAACAAGTATGCACAGCCCAATTTATTAATAGGTTTCAATATAACGCAGCTAGACTAAAAAAAAAAAGCAAAAAAACAAAACAAAACAAAACGAGTAACCATAACCTTAGATACAATTAGAGCAAAATTTTAAGATAAGCAATGTCATGATCTCAGGTTCCATCCATTGCGAGGCCACTAAATCGTGCAAGATATGTTGTCGATGTCTATGAGAGTAAATATAAGTTATAGACAGTGTGATGCAGTCATTGCGGCTAATGCTCGACACTTCTGAAAAATAAAATGAACGAGAAACCTCCGGAAAGCCAATGCAAGTGTCTAAAGTATCGCACAACAGCGAGTGACAAAAACTCAAAGAGCCACTACCTTCCTGTCGCTTCCAGGATTGTTCTTTTGCGTGGTTTCCATAGTTTCTCTGGTCCTCTAAGCCAATATAACAATCAACGAGAAGAGCTTCAATGAGAAAAATACCAAATAGCCAATCAATACAAGACAGTAATATGACCCACTTAGAGAATACAAAAGGTTAAGTCAGTTCCTTGAGAATGAAAGGGGGGAAAACCAGGAAAGTACCTGAGGATGACCACTGTTGAGGTGACAGCGGGATTTGGAGACTCTGCTTGTGAAGCAGCAGGCAAAGAACCTCTTCATTATATACACGAATTGCTCAGCAAAATTGCAAGTGAAGGTTACGGAAAAGGGCGGGGCCAACAAACCAACCAATCAGAGAAATCCCTGTTGGAAAAACCGTTTGCTTTCAATCCTACCTGTGCTATGTGCGAATTTTATCCAAGACAGCGGCATCAAATTAATTTTGGAACCAATTGAACACTTCTAAAATCCCACAAAAAAAATTCATCTTTCTGTTTTTTCCTTCTCCGAGTGCTCCAGTCTTTCTGTAATCTTTTGCTTTGTCTTGCAGATAAGTAATGCTTGAATTGAAATGGAAGCCTAGGCCTCAATGGCCGAGGATGTTTATGATCCTTAATCTTAAAATAATCTCCAACCCATTTGCACCATACTTCAATTTGAAGATAAACAAAGATGAACTTTTCCGGAGTTAGGTGCACCATACTCTTCGAATCTTATGATACTGAATTATATGTTAAAGTTTCTATTATTAATCACGGAAAAAACAGATTTACTAAACTAAATTGTCAAATAACCACATTAGACATAATTGAATTCAAAATGCATGATAGCTTACTCCAAAAATTCCTTCCACAACCCATTGCGTCGTTCTTCGCAGGACCAACTGAACCTGGGGATCAGAATCGATAGTTCAAGCTTGAGCTGGTCCTTCTCAATAACGAGATAGAGGAGGACGTAAGGGTGATTCGAACGTCAAATTTCAACGACCAAGCACCAAACATGGCGACATGAGATTTCAGTTGCTTCCGCGCTGCAAACATTCCGGGAACTGGAAACAAGAGTTGGTTTCTTTTTTGAATTTTTTTCACACGCAGGGGGTGGGGGTTGTTACTCTGTTGTCTTTTTCTTCTTTTTCCTGCATTTTGCCATTTTTTTAATTTTTAAAATAACTTGGGTTAATGTGTTAGAATAACAAATTATAAAGTTTTCTAGGTTTTAACTTAATATTTGTTTAAGCAAAAGTATACATTTAGTGATTTGGTTTTGGGTAAGGTTTTAATTTGATCCTATAAATTTTAAAAATATATTTTTAATTTTTCTAATCCTAAAAATACTAATTTTAAATGATGATCTTTGTAATAGTTATGATTGTTTTGAAAATTAAACTTAATATGTTAGTATTTAAAAATATTTTAATAAAATTTAAAATCTCATTGTTGTTTTTTTTAATTCATGGTTTTATAGTTAAAAGATTACAAATATATTTTTTAAAATTAAAAAATCAAATTAAAATTTTATATAAAATTAGATGATTAAAAATATATTTTGGTCTTTTTATTTATTTACTTACTTTTATGTAATTTATAATATTATTGAAAGCAAGAGGTAATAAATTCTGGAATAAAAGATCGTGTTTAAGTTTTTAATATGTACAGATTGTAAAATACAACATGTTCTTGATTTTAATCGAGGGTTAAGGTTCAAATTTATGTTGAAAATTTACATCCAGCAGCATTGGGTGTCTGAATTTTTTTTATGTAAATTTATTCTAAAAATTTAAAATCATAGTAATATTATTTTGTACTATTAAAAATGTTAATGTCTGGTGGCAGCATTTTTAATGGTAACATTCTTAATGATAAGGATAATATTACTACGATTTTAAATTTTTTGAGTAAATTTGTATAAAAAAACTTTCAGATACCCACTACTCCTGAATGGAAGCCTTCAAAACAAATTTACACTTTAACCTTTTAATTTATACGAGATAAAATGTTCTGTAATAAAATAGGATGTTATTTTTGTCTTATCAAAAACAAGAAATCATAAAACAAAATAAGTGGCTGTTTATATTTACATGATAATAAGTTTTTTTGCTGGTGGATACTAAATTTTAAAGCACAACACTTCATATGAATGCAAAGTATAATAAAATTAAACTAAGAAAATGATTTCAAACTATTTAAATTTTCTAAGCGAACTCACCCGGGTGCTTTTTTTTAAAGGATAAAAATGCATCAATAATAAAATAAGAGATACAAAGTCAAGTCAGAAAGCCCCTAAGCAATGAACAAGAATTAAGCATGATGACATCTCTTAATTTGACATTAAGCATGATGACAACTCTATCCTAGAAGCTAATTTAACATTGGAGGAAGAGAAAAAAAAAATAAGTAAAAAGAAAATATCTTGATGCAAGTTGTTGATCAAGAATTTGTTTGGCACTTTTATAATATACTCCTCTAATTCTTAATATAAAATCTATTTAACTAATTTGATTAGATTACGAAAGTTAGGTAAGTTAGTTAATTATAAAAAATATGATATGTTTTTTTTTCTAAAACATCATAATCATCTTTCTTAATACCATCTCTTTCTCTTTTACTTAATTATAGCTGAGAGAGTATTCATAAGGGTAATTTAAAAAAAATTGATAAATATGAGAAATAGATCCTATATTTATAACCAAAATCAATTTAATAATTAGATGCTATATTAAGATCTGAACTCCTGCGTTAAAAAAATAATGGAGAATTCCTAATTCAAAGTAAATTAGATGTGAAACTTTGAAAGCCAGGATATCAAGTATGAGTTATGGCTGTATGATTTTTTTCCCAACATTTCTTTTTTGTATCTATTGACCTTGAAAACAAATCCAATCCCAGTTTTATAATATGTCTTCTGTTGATGTTTAATGGTCCAACCTTCTAAATATAAGAACTAATTGACTAATTTAAGTTAATTAAAAAAATAAGTTAAGTTAGTTATTTATATTAAATAAGTATTGTCTTTCCTAAAATATCCTTACTAATCAAGTTGATTGGTTAAAACTACTATTATTGAAAAAACTATCTTAAAAAAAGTGAATATAAGAAACAAAGTGGATTGGGATCTTATATTTAAAATTAAAATAAAAATCAAATAAAATCTTGTATTAATAACCGGAGGTAGAATGTTCAAGGTGAATTGCCTTTGAGGAAGGAAAATTCTTGCATTGCAACGCCTGATCTTATGAAAAGGCGACAGATGAGAAAGACATCAAGTTGTGAATTTCTTTTATTACCATTGCAGGAGAGGAGATTTTTTCCTGAAGAATAATCTTGTTCCTTTTCTTCCAAATGACATTCAGTCAACTAATGATTTGCTTTATCATTTCTTATAGATGATCCTGATGCAGTTTTGTAAGATATTTTTGAGTCAAGAGTGAAAATCATAAATCTGGTTAAAATCAAGCTTAATAGATAATCCTCCAAGTCAAATGGTTCGGCAAAAAGACATTTAGGCATGTTTGGATACAATGAAAAGTGCTTTTTAAAAATATTTTTTTATAAATTGAAACAAATTCCTTCACATATTTATTTTGTATACCATGAAATCATTTCTAAAATCATAGTTTGGTTTTTTTTTGTTGCTAAAGTATAGGTATCTTCTTATTAGAGGCAATCGTATTCGAAGTACTGTCGGGCACTAAATGTGGGCACTTCTCCCAGTATGGATTCGAACTTTAGTTCATCACATTGTGAGAAACTAGCCCCTTCTGCTAGACTCAACCTCTGTTGGTAGTTTGGTTTTCATTTAAATACCCTTGCAAAGGTAAGAAGGAAGGGCCCATTTCTTGGCAACCCAATCCATATTGATTAAAGTTGGCCGAATGATGTTTTTGACGGGCTGGTCTTTTAGCCCAATCTTTACATTGACCAAGAAATGCTAATAAACCTGCCCAAGATGATGAGCCCAATTCTCTGGGTTTTTATGAAATTCTTGCTTTTTGCCAGCATTTTATGAAATTCTTGTAGAAATAGGGGAAATCCAATATATAAATCACAATAATGATCATATTAAAAATTATTATTAATTTTATTTATATATCTCTGTCTTGAATTTTAAAAATATATTAACTAGAAAGTGACAATATTTTTTCTGACGTTAATAATAAATTTTTAGATCATCATAATAATTTTAATTCTTGGAAATATTACAGTTTAAAATAAATTTAAAATTGATAAAATCTGATCATTAAATATTACAGTTCATTTTCTCGCTCACGATGCATATATATTTTTTGCTAAAGCATAGGTATTTTTTTATTGAAGGCAATCCTATTTGAGGCACTATCGGGTATTAAATATGAGTACTCGCTTACGATGCATATTTATATATATATATATTTTTGTTAAAGCATAGGTATGATTCCATTGGAAGCAATTCTATTCAAGGCACTGTTGGGCACTAAATGTAGGTACTTCTCCTAATAAGAATTTGAACCTTAGTTTGTCATATTATGAGGACTAGTTCTTTCTGCTAGACCCGTTACATTTAGTGCCCAACAGTGCCTTGAATAGAATTGCTTGGCCGCGCGAGTCCTCTACTACCGAAGCGGCCAATCGTCGAAGCAAGGCCGTCAGAGATCGTTCCGGTGCCGGAGTGGCTCCTTTAATTTCCGATCACTCTCTCTGGACATAATCAATGCCGCCCAATGCCAATGGCTTCTCAAGGACATTCATATTCTACAAACCTCATCGATTTCTTCTGCAGTAGAACTGAAATAAGCTCATTTTATTTATTCTTGGTATCCAGTTTCAAATGTATTGGTTTAACCTCAAATGACACTTAATACGCTTAATTCAGGACTGTTTTTTGAAATGCCTGGCTAGGCGTATTGAGAGCCTTTATTTTAGCTTGTCACATTTGCTAGTATCATAGTTAAGGGTGTTTGGATGGAAACCAAATCATGGTTTCAGAAGTGATTTTATGGTCTACAAGGTAAATATGTAGAGGAGTTTATCTCAATTTGCGGAAAAGTGCTTCTGAGAAGCACTTTTTAGGGTATCCAAACACTCCCTTAATTCTTCTTATGATATAGAGCACTAACTGCTCATTGAAATGCCTAGCTTGTCGCATCTGCCAGCATCATAGTTAGAGGACTCTTCCTTGGAAACTTCTATACTATATGAGTTATGCTCAGGCTCACCAATTTGATTGCTAACAATTTACGAGGCTATCTGTGCTACCTTCGATAGGCTAAATAGTTGAGAAAAATTCTCAAATGAAGCAAACTTGATAATTTAGTGAGTTTCTTACCAAGTGTCTGTGATCAGGTTAGACTTAACAGTAATGCTTTTTTTTAATGTGTATTAAAGTAAGTGAAACATGTGCATCTGGCAAGAGGAATAGGCTTATTCAAACAACCACTATGGATTGTGTCCCTGAACATGAGATTTACTAATTAGTGAATAAACATTGCATCTAAAAGATGCATGCTACGAGACTGATGAGCATGGCAATTGCCATGTATTTTTATAGCTAATAATATTATTAATATTCCAGATGGCGCTGGAAAGCCGGTGAATAACTACATATTGGACAACATAATGCGATCGAGCCATAAAAGGTATATGCAACTAAAGAATAAAATTGCAACAGTTACGTTCCAGCCAAAAAAAGAGGTGAGTGCTCGATGCGCATGTCTTTCTGTGAGAAACATTGTGGCTATAATTATAAGGTATTTTGTTATAACATAATTCCGCAAACATCAACAGATATAAGGCTGTTTGCAAAATGGTGTTTGATCGTAAAGGCAAGCATATCGCAAGCTCTCCATTAAAAGGCGATATAAACTGATCTCTTGTTATGATGTTACCGCGATCCTCTTTATTATCTTTAAAATATCCTTTATATAAACTGCATTTTTTTGTATTATATGCTTGTTGCCTTCATTTTATGCTTTACCTCTTCTTAGAGATATAGCTTGAGAGCTGGACATTGGAACCCTAATCGTTTCTATAGCTTCTGTAACTTTGTACGTCCCCTGTAATTGAGTTGTTCAA